CCCGCAGTGTACGCCAACCCGCCTGGTCTGCCCAGGAGCTCGGTGTCGCAGAGGCCCCCACTTGAAGGGGAACTGGAACACACAAATAAAAATATCCCCCATATTTTCCCATATTTTCTGGGTTTTTGTCTTCCCCACCACTTCCCATATTTTTGCATATTTTCCTGGGAGTCGACGATTAATTGTGTCTGTGTGTTTCTTTCCCTCCTGACCACTTCCCAATCTGGGAGGGCCTCTTTTTGTTCCTCTCGCGCGTCCCTGATCGAACTGCGAAACAACTGGTCTGCCTTGTGTCCTGCTCGCTTCGGCTCCCACTTCTCGCTCGGGCCTGGCCGCGTCTACAGCGGACTGCCTCCCACACTTCCAACACGGTGCAGCGATCACGTTCAAAGCACATGCGGATTGTTTGGTTAAAAGTGCACCGTCTCCCTTCGCCGAGACCCGTTATATCCACGGCCAACCGAAAGGCGTGGCGTCCACACATCGAACCCCATCCGCCAAACTTATGGGTCCCCGAACCAGATGGTGACAGACCGCGCGGTGTCCTGGGAGCCCCGAGAAATCTTACCGCATGGTCCGCCACCGCGCGGCCGCGGGAGCCCGGAGGCCCCAGGCGCCCGGAACGTAGTCGGAGAACGACCCGAGTCCCAGAACCGCGCGGCGACCCCAGATCCCGAGTGACTCACCACACGGTGTGGTCACTACGCGATTGGGGAGTTCCTCCGCCAGACCGCCGCAGAAGGCAACGGCCTCGAAGCTGGCCATCGCTCGGACGTCCATTCCCCGTGCGCCGTTTGGTATCGCGCATGTGTTGTCTCGGGTCGGAGGTTCAGAGATGGGATCCTGCGGCATGGGGCCCTCAGGAAGGTGCGCTGCACACGACGCAGATCCACCCTCGGACCCCTTGCCGTCCTCAGGTCCCCATCGTCCGACGGTTCATCAGGATGGCCCGAAGTCAGACAAGATGGTCTGGATGTTGTGGCGCTGGCCTCTGAAGGGGCCCAGGGACACACAAATGCATACACAGAAATACAAGGATCCCCCATAGCTCCCCCTATTTTCTGGGCTTCTGTCTTCCCGCCCACCTCCCACATTTTTCCACATTTTTTCTGGGGAATCGACGATGACTTGTGTCTGTGTGTTCTTTCCCCTCCTGAGCTTCGCCGAACGAAACGCACGCGCCCGCACGACGCCGAGGCGAATCGCCCGCCGACCCGACCCGGCCCCGCCGGGCCGCGGCGTGCGGCCTGCTGGCGCAGCGCACGCGCCCCGCTGCCGCCGCTCGCCCGGCGTGGCCGCCGCCGCGGGGGGGGGGGGGGGGGGGCGCGCCCGCGGGGGCCGCCTCAGAGGTGCCCCCCGCGGGGCGCGCCGGCGGACAGCACCCTGGCAGAGCAGCCTCACCGCCAGGGTGGAGATGCAAAAGGCGGCTCGAGGAGGAGACGCGCCGGCGGACAGCACCCTGGCAGAGCATCCTCACCGCCAGGGCGGAGAGGCGAGAGGCGGCTCGAGGAGGAGACGCGCGCAAGGCGGGGGGGGGCAGCTCCACCCCACCGATCCACCTCGCCCCGAGGGGCGGCGGCGACGGAGCGGCGGCTGGCGCCCCGGGCCCGTGGAGCGCCGCCTCGCGCTCGCCGCCGGGCGCAGCGGCTGCTTCACTCGCAGCTGAGCGGCCACGGTCGTCCGAGGAAGAGCGGAGGTGCGCGGCAGCAGCGAGCAGGAACAGGGGCAAAGGAGGCGCGACGAGAACTGCAGGGGATTGTGGGCCGAATCCGGCAGGAGGTGCCGCGGCGCCAGTCCGCGGAGCTGCTCCGGATCCAGCGCCGCCGCCACCAGCCGACGCACCACAATTCGCATCGCCCTCCAGACCAGCCCCGCTGCCAGCTGGGGGAGGGCAGCCAGGGAACTGTTGCAATGAAAAAGAGGGGGGGGAATCAGCAGCATCAGCAACGCCGAGGGGGGCAGGACGGGGGGAGGTCGAGGGGGGCGGCAAAATGGGCGACGTAGCAACTATCATTCCCAGTCTGGGAGACCTCAGAGGCATGGGCCAAGTGAGCTCAGCCCTGGGGATGTTCGCAACGGGCACGAGATCGTCGTGCTGTCCAGCTCGCTGCGGGGGGGCAATCATCGTCGTAGCAGGGGCGCACGGAGAGGGCGAGGGCGAGGGGGGCGGACAGGGCCGAGGGGAAACAGACAGGAATCATCATCAGAACACTCAGGTTCAGGTACGGGTATAGGCGTGAGGCCAAACGATGGAACGCGACCTAAAGCCTTCTCACCACTGCCACTCATGGAAGGGCACGAGGGAGATGACGTGGCAGAGGCGGATGGCACCATGGGACTTAAATTTCCGATCCAAGCCGTCAGAAGGCCGAGCATGGCGAAGCGCTCGCTGACCTGCCAAAGAAGCTGACCGCAGTTCGCCGGCCGTGACGTACTCACGGGGCCTCACGCTGTGGCACGCGGAGACCAAGACCACCATCTATTCAGCACGTTCCAAGGATGGAGCAGCGAGCCCGAGGCGGGCGCCCCGCAGCAACGCTTATTGAACGTAACAGGGCAGGGCACCTCATGCAGTGAAGCTGTTAGTCCAGGCAGCCTGCACAACCGGAGACGCGCCAACGCCTACAAACCGTGCGCCGATTCCGATAACTAGTCAACCAAGCCGAGGCCGAAGTTTCGATGATGGGCCCAGCTGCAGGGAAGCAAGCAACAGAACTTCCGAAAAGACTCCCACGGCACACGGCGCAGGAACGGCTGCCATCGAACAAAGTACCGAGACCACCTCTGCTCGAAGACTGCGCGTAGCGGATGAAGACCGACACGACGCGAATGCAGGGCAGGAGCAGCAGCGCGTTGATGGCGAGGGCGCCAGTCTGCAACTGAAGGTTCCTCTGCAATCGCGGCAGCGCAGCACTCCAGCAACGACCGCGCAAATCCAGCTGCCGGGCCCCCTGTCGCAGCCAATGCGTACGTCTAAACAAGGAGGCGTAAGCAGCCAGTGTCTACCAGCATCCTTGAGCCAATATGGTCGCGGCCTGGACCCCAGCAAGACAGCGTCATCGATCGATCCATCTACCAGCAGTTGGTTCCAAGTGTGAGACAGCTCATTGATACTCTCGATCACGGCAGGGCAGTTCGAGAAAATGGCAAGAGCCGCTTGAGCAAGGGCAGCAAGACACGCGCGAAGTGCGAAAAGGGCTCGAGGACCACTCCAATCTGCAAGCAAGCAAGGCCCAACCAGAGGCGGGGAGTATGCCCAGGGGGGCACGAAACACTTGTGCAAGGACCGATCACTCGAAGGCGGCCATATGAGGAGGCCGAGGATGGAATTGTGCAAGGCAGGACAGGACAAGCAGAACCCGAAAACCATACACAACCCCATTGATGCTGCCGATTGGGGCTCACCCAGCCCCAAGCAACTTGCCACGTAGCTTCATTCTCAAGCAAGCCGCCTCCCATTGCATCTGGATAGTAACTGCTGGGCCCAACAGAACTCCCTACTTCGCGAGGTGAGATACAACCTTGAACGTGGCTCAGGCAGGAACATGTCACATGTCGAGCGACCGGATCTCGAGTGACATCCCGGAGGCAGACGCTACATTCAACGTGTAGCGGGGTGGCCTTGCACTGCATGGGTTTCAGACTGAGACCCGTGAAGCGCAACGTGATCGCCATCACCATGTGGAAGACGTCGATACCCCGAACTTCAAATAGCACAGCCCCAATGTCATATTTGCCAGACCTGGTAATTACAGATTCTTCGAGCGACAGCTCCAGGTCAACAAAGAACGGCGCCGCGACTAATGCGCATAGCGTGCAACAACGCCCACGTGCTTGGATCATCCCAGAAGAGACCTGGAAGAAGTGCATGAATTGGCCACCATGGGCCACGACTTTGCCGATAGCCGAGCGCGGCCAAACCAGGAAGAGCACGAGGGGCTGAGAGGTGCCCAAGATGAGAGAGACACGGCATGAGGTAGTCCTGGGAAATGCCCGGGCAAACCGGCCCAACGTCGAAGGAAAACAAGAGACGCCCTAGTGCATATAGCGGGCAAGACACCCCACATCCTTGGACAATCTCGAAAAGGATCCGGAGAAGTGTAGGAGTTGGCCACGATGGGTCACGACTCCTTCGATAGCCGAATATAGTAAACCCAGGAAGAGCTCGAGGGGCTGAGGGAGCCCAAGATGAAAGGGAAGCAGCATGAAGTAGTGCTGGGAGATGCTCGGGAAAGCCTGTCCAAATGCTAGAGCGAGCAAGGGAGGCCATTGACGATGTGCCGAGGGATGAGCACCCGCGACACGACTATATCTATCTAGCTCGAACGTGTTGAATCCACAATTTCGTCCCACGGCAAAACCCCGTTGCGAACGGGTTACGAGTTGATCCACTACACCCCATGAGTGTTCGGCTCACGGCGGACGTCGAGATCTCGACGCCCGTGCTCCGCAACCCCAGGGCCGTGATCTGATCAGCAGAGCGGGAGCAGCCCCCAGAGAAGTCGGCCTCGTGCTCGGACCCCCGTGGGTGAGAACGATGGCTGGGCCAGGCTGGCGAAGTCGAACAGCGTCTTGCCACGCAGGAGCCACTCAGGTATGAGACAGGGGGCGTCGAGGCAGCAGTCAGCAAATGCCCAAGCCGCATAGGGAAAACCATCCACACCAGGAGCACTGTGACGAACACGAGCAACCACATGCCGAAGGGAAGCTTTGCTAGGGTAAGGATCCTCAGGGAGCATCGGGACGGGGAGGTGCTGATCCAGGTCGCTCTTGCCTTCGGAGAGGCCGACGGCTGTCCTGGGAAGCACGGATCGCCAGTAGTCCGAAAGCACCTGAAATTGATCAAGAGCATCTTCGGCCAACTCTGGGCCAACACGAACAGCTTGTGACACCAACCTTTTCTCGAAAACGGTGCCTAGATAGCAGCCTTGCGCTCAAAATGTCGACGCCATCGGAAAGAGGAGGGGGGACAGGATGAAGAGCGACCGGCGCGAATATCGTCAGCAGCAAGAGCTCTGGCTGCAAGGGCCGCAGGTGGACCCCGTCTGACCACGAATGGAAGGATTCGGGATGCCGGATATCTCGGGAGCGGCCAAGAGGGGGGTGCCCAAGAGGGGGGGGCGCCAATCATGGCGAGCGGCATGTGCGCGGCCTAGGGGGAGAGCCAGGGACGCAGTGAAATCAGAAGAGGCGCCACGAAATCTGGGGAGATATCGTGGCCCCCGCCATGACGTCCACCCCCCCCCCCCTAGTCATCACCCCCCTCTCTGCCGCCCCCGCGTATCGCCTCGTGGCCCATCGATCTTGATATCAGGCCAGAGGCGGTCGGCGAGGCGTCCGCCGACCCTCGGGCAAGTCGGACGTCCTGGCGCCACACCGCTCGTGCACGGCTCCCCGCGGCAATCACGGCAGGTCTCGTCAGCCGCAGGGCTGTGGACGGACACAGGATCTCGCACTTCTCGGGCAGCCTCTTTCGGCAGGTCCTTGAAGTGCCCCTGATAGAACGATGGCAAGAACAACGAAGCATCACCACGCCTGTCTTTCATCGCCCCCGCGATGCGCATCTTGAACAGCGGGTCCTCACAGACATGCCCTGGGATAGGCTGCTCAGTCTTCGGCTTAACACAACGCTGCCGAAGAGCGGAGGCGGCTCAAGGAGGAGGAGGGGGAGGAGGAGGAGGAGGAGGAGGAGGAGGAGGAGGAGGAGGTAGAGACATGGCCATGTGCATGTAAGCGCATCCGTTTACCAGGGTCTCGTGGCCGTCCGCACCACAAATGCAGCCCAGATTGAGGCGAGAGTACGGGCTCTCCGTCCGCCCCGTGCCACTCGTCTGTGGCCCCCGCGCGCCCAATCGAATATACCGGCGGGCTGCACCGCGATGCGTCGATCGGCCGACTGGCCCCAAAGCCCTGCCCCGCTTGCGATGCCAACCACCATCGACATGGACTCGGGGGCGCGTGGAAGTTTGCGCCAACACCCTGGTCGCAGAGATGGTGCAGGATGGTGCCGCGCTGTGGCGGCCGCCCATCTGCTCGCGCTTCGGCGGGGTGGAGGGGGCTGCTGCTGCACCTGTCCTCAACAGGGCCCCCTCGCCTGGGCGCCACCCTCCTCCTCCTCCTCCTCCTCCTCCTCCTCCTCCTCCTCCTCCTCCTCCTCGTGAGGGGTGGGGCGGTGCCTGAAGGTCCGACGCCGTGCGGGCTGCATGTGGGCATGTGGCGCGTGAGAAGCGGATGAGAGATGGGAAGGTGTGGAACCGCTCTTTCGGCAGAACAGCAGTGGAACAGGAAGAACGGCGACAGACGTGATGTGAGAGGGGACGAGCAGGAGGGCGTGATATGCTGTGGATACAGATAGCACGAGCAGGCGAGGGGGACGAAAGTGCAGGGCGGGTGGATCTGCAACAGTAGGCAATACTCACTTGAACTGAATGTTGCCTTCACCTCCCCTGCACACCACACTTCGGCAAATAGCCAATGACATGAATGAGAGCCGGTGACTTGAACAAACTCGGGATCGGGGCCCCGTGATTTGGAAAATAAGCCAAGCAACAGGATAGACCAACAAGATCAACTGCGTCCCTTCTGAAACCGAATCTGTTGAGTATTGCACAGTGTACGCGTGTGTCGCGATTCGAAGGCAGCGAGGCAGGAACGGAATCGGATACCACACCCCTCGGGGACGGTCAGGCAACCACTGCTCCAGTGTATCATTGCCCCCGTCCCCCACGACCCCCGCGCGAACAGTGGAGCTGAGGGACGCGCAAGAGTTGCATCACTTCTCAAGGGTCGCGCAGGATGCGCGAAGACGGCGAAGGGCACAAGTGAGCGAGGGAGAGAGAGTCGGGAGGGGAAGAAACACACAGACACGATGAATCTTCGATTCCCCCGAAAATATGGGAAACTATGGGAGGTGGGCGGGGGGAAGACAGAAGCCCAGAGAATATGGGGAACTGTGGGGAATCATTTTTATTTGTGTGTATTTGTTTGCGTGTGCCCTGGGGCCCCTTCAGAGAGAGAGAGAGAGGGGGGCAGATGCTCGGCCCTCTTGCGGTGGCAGGGCGTGAGGTGGAGACGCCCACGCCTCTGCGGCAGACCGTGGGAGCCTCCCGTACCATCTTGCCGACTCTTGCGCACCGACGCTGCTCGACGCTAACCGGCGCGACATCGACGCTGACTTGACGCTGACTTGACGCTACACCCTGCGAAATGCTTAAGAAATCATGGGTTAAGAAATTTACAGTCTCAGAACTTGAATAAAAACCCAACATTTCCATTAAAAACTTAGAATTTACATTGAAACGTCAAGAATAATCGAGACTCTGGCCGAAAACTTAAGTTTTCTTAAGCATCGCCTAAGGTGTAGATCGGCGCGCCCTCACCGACGGAGTACCACCAGGCGCGGATCGACGCCAACGCACTCTCACGACAGAGCTCCAGAGGCGCACAGGGGTCCCATGCCTTTGCCACCGAAGACGGTCATGTGTCGCGCAGCCCACGCGACACTACACGCACTCTTCCAAACTGTACCTCGCGCAGCCTCGCCGACGTGGCCCCGGGTGGCCGCGGCGGCCGGGCGGAAGACGAGGGAAGCGCGAGGCTCGGGCGCGAGAGCGCGGAGCGGCCAGCGCGACCACCTGCGAGGGCTGCCGTCGCACAGCGCCCTGGATGGGGGAGCAGGGTCTCGGCGCTCGCGGAAAGCAACCTCGACGGGGCGTGCCCCGGACATGCGACCGACGTCGCTGGGATGCGAACGCCCTGGCAAGGCTCGACCCAAACACGGCGTGTTCCGCTTTCGCTCTTTCATCGTGTTCCCTCGATGTGTCTTCGTCCGCCTTTGCCGCAAAACGAACTCGAAACGAGAACGGCCCACGAGATCGCCAACACACAGGTCCAGCCCTGCGCCCTGGCGCCGCTCCGCGGAAGCACCTCCGCGGGTGGGAATCTGCAGGCACTCTCAACGCAGCCATCTGCCATGCACGTCGACGAGGCGAAGAGATGCCGCTGGGCAGGGAGGAAGGCGGGGGAGAGCTGGGAGGCGGCGCAAGATTCGTGGAGGGCGGCAGGCCGTGACTAGTCCATGCTAGTGGCTAAAACACGAGGTCTTGTATGCGAAGCCCATTGCTTAAAAGCTGTCGGCCCTCATAGCCGCTTCTGCCTCCTCCCTAAAAAATGGCTGAAGCCATGCAGTTCACTGCCGCGTACTTCGTGTGATCAGTGAATAGAATGAGTGACGAATCGATGTGATCAACCCTGGGCACAAGAGCTTACATACCCTGGGCAGAGCATGAGTGTTTACAAGAGCATGGGCGTTGCAGTGTAAGTGGTGCACTCAAGCGCACGCGCTAGTTATCAACTGTGTTGCGCATATTTCGTAACAGACCATGGGAAAGAGGCCATACCGCTGTTGAGGTACAATGACTTCACACCTTGCAATACTAACCGCCTCGGGCATGATTTCATCAAATGCGATATGCACTCGACGACGATCTTACACTTGCTCATATGGGAAAACTCCATACCGTGACCACACGCTGAAATCAATATCTGCAACAACCCGAGCACTTCGAAACAACACAGCGCGAACATACCCCAAAACCGTAATTAACGCTAGCACATCATTTGCAATGCTGTAGCCCTCACGCCACGATGCGATTAGTATTACACTCCAGACACCTGTGAGCACCGAAATCTAAATCAACCAACGCACCCTTACATCTTAGGTCGTAGACGGAAAGCGCCGATCAGAGTGTCCTAAAACGGGCGAGCCCGCTGATGTGACAGAACCTTTACATCTGATCCCTACCGCCCATACCGCACCGACGCTGAGGCGCCCTGGCGTCGCGATCCCGACGCGACTACGCCTGCATTACGCCGCTCTACTCCTGCGTACAGGCATCCTCATCAAAGCAGCACGGCGGCCTTGCCGAAACCGAGATATGCTTAACCAGGGGAGCATGTACGTGCGATGGTCGTCATGGGCCAGGTGCCTCATTCTCTCCATCCTTCTATTCCCTCCCTCTACCATTCCAAACTCTCCGTTCCCTCCGCATGGCATGTCCATCAGCACGGGGTAAGTCTTGATGGTGAAATCGTCGCTGATCTCTCCCACCACGAAGCCTCTGGCGGTCCAGCATGCGACGGGTTTGCTTGTCCGTGCGCGCCTGGAGCACTGCAATGAGCACTATCACAGCTTTGGGCATGCTTCGCTCTGTGACCCCTAAAACAAGGCTAGGATCGGGATAAATCGCTCCAGAGCGTTCCGGAGCGCTCTCAGAGCGTTCCGGAACGCTCTGGAGCGGCCGCGGCGCCCAATACATCCTCCAAACCCGCCGATTCTCAGAGATTTCGAACTATCCCGATCCGATTTTGTCCCGATCTTCGCGTCGTTTTAACCCCGAATCCGATGCGGAATCGGTCATCAAAACCCTACCGATTATAACATTCCGGCCCGCTGCCTGATCCGCGACCAGCCGTGGCGAAAGAGGGGCCCCGCCAAGCTCGGGTCGGGCGAAAGGGGGGGATAGCAAAGGAGGGGTTTGAGAAGCAGCTCACGTAGCTGATTTTCCCGGCGCCTCCCGGCGCCGGAGGCGCCCATGTATCGAGGAACGGGCCCCTCGGTGAGGCCGAAACCAGCTGCATGCAGCAGATTTCGTAACCCCCCCTTTCCCAATCCCCCCCTTTCGCCCGGCCCGAGAGTCCTGCGCGCGAGCAGGCCCCTCTCGGCACCAGAAGGCGCGGCTCGGAGCCCTGGGGATCCTGAGGCCACCTGGCCGCACCGGAGCTTCCCGCGGGAACTCGCCCGCCATGTCTCGAAGGGGACGTGGGGGTGTTGATGACTACCTACCAGACCACCCCAACCCAACCCGAAGACCCGAATTTCGGGTTGGGCGGGGTAAGGGTTCCACACGTGTTTTTTCGATGTTTACCGACCCCCCCCCCACTGGAAATCGAGGGTAAATCTGAGCCTTCGGGTTGGGTTGGGGTGGTTTGGTGGGTTGACCGCCTCCAGCATGCGAACCCTGCCCCTACCCCCCCCCCGATTTCTGAGGGGGAGGGTGGGGTTCACTTCGTTCGGGAGCTCCCGAGCAAAGTGCACCCCACCCTCCCCCTCAGAAATCGTGGGGGGTAGGGGCAGGTTTCGCCTGTGGCCCCCTAACCAAAGCTTCCCGCGGGAACTCGCCCGCTATGTCTCAAAAAGGGACCTGGGGGTGTCGAGCGGGCAGGGGCAAGACTGGTGAGGGCTCGAGCTGGGCTGCTACCCCAGACCCCCGACGTCATGATTTTTTCATGACGCGACCCCAAGAGGTCCAGACCCATTTCCCGGGACCGGTTTTTCATCCTGAGTCGTTGTTTGACGGTCCCGAGGCCCGGTGAGAGCCCCCAGAGGCCGAAAATAGCGAAAAACCTCCCGTCGTGATTTTTTCATGACCCGAGGGGGTCTGGGACCCCGGCCGGCGAGACAGCAGGCGCACGCACGAGCCGTGTGAGCAGCACGCCCCCGCGGGACAGACCAGAGGCGCCGAGGCAGAGGACAGACGAGAGAGGCGCCAGAGGCCGCCAGCCGGGCGAGACTTCGGCAGACCCGCCCAGCGCACGAGGCGCCCACGAGGCATCCACGGCCGCCAACCAGGTGGACAGAAGAAGTACAAGCGCCATAAAAAATAAACCTTTTGGCGCTCCGCGCGGATTCCTTGGGCCTGCGCAAGCGAAGCCTCGGGAAGCGCACTCGGCGCAATGGGGGCGCCCACGAGGCGCCACCGGCGCGAACCCGGCGAGACACCTCGGCGGGCCCCCCCGGCGCACGGGGTGCCCACGAGGCGCGCGCTGCGGCCGCCCACCCGAGAGAGACCTCGGCAGACCCAGCCGCCCGTCGGTGGCACACACGTCGGTCGGAGGAAGTGGGCAGAAGCATGAAGTAGGGGGGCGGACAAAGTAGATTGGGCCCAGGCCACCACCATAGAATAGCAAAACACAGCAGAAACATCTATTGATGTCTATATATATATATACACATTTATGTGTATATATGTATACCTATAAAATTATATGTGCATATATATATATATATATATATATATATATACATATATATATATATATATATATATGCGTAGCACCCCGCCGATGCTGATAAGAGTGAGGGGGCGGTGGGGACGTCGGCAGTTTGCGAGACTATGGAGAAGCCCGCCGCAGGCGCCAAAGTTTTACAAATCATGCAACGAGCCCGCCGCAGGCGCCAATTTTTTCGTGAAACCACTGTGGGTAGGTCACGGTTGGGTCGCAAATGGGTCGCGGGTGGGTCGCGGGTGGGTCGCGGGTGTAGAGGGCAGAAAATCCACCCCATAAGAATCACCCCGACAAGCGAAGCCGTTTAGTAAACGCACACAAGGAATGAATCGAACAGGGCAGGGCTGTTTAGTCAACGCCCAGGGCCGTTTAGTAAACGTTATTTGCCGGGTCCGGGTGGTGTTTCCTGCCTTGAGGGTGGGTCGCGGGGTGGGTCGCGGGTGGGTCGCGGGGTGGGTCGCGGGTGGGTCGCGGGTGGGTCGCGGGGTGGGTCGCGGGGTGGGTCGCTGGTGGGTCGCGGGGTGGGTCGCGGGTGGGTCGCGGGTGGGACGACGACAACAAACAACAACAACAACACCAACAACAACAACGACAACAACAACAACAGCAGCAGCAGCAACAACAGCAGCAGCAGCAACAACAACAACGCAACAAGCATAATTCTCACCACGCATTCTTCATTCAGCCACACACGCACGGGCAATGAATGACCGTTCAGCCCCCTCACTCTGATAAAATGTGTGTATATATATATGTATATCGGGATCTTGGAATCCAAACGTGCCTACTGTCAACGACCAGCGAGCATGTGAACAACTCTGTGTCCTCCTCCGCCCAGGAGGAGAAGTGGGACAGGGCGAGCCTGGAAGAGAAGGGGCAAGTGGACCAGAAGGACGGGTACATGCGCGAAAATGGTCGTCGCCGGCCTCGGGGGAAACAGCCTCGACTGCCAGGGTTGCCAGACCAAAACCCTCCACCATCCCCACCACCACCGCCCCATCCATAAGCATGTCCCGGTCGGAGGAGGAGGTCTAGATCATCTAATTTGGATTGGGTGGCGGATGTATGTCCAAATCGACCTGATTGGGTAGTTGCAATCCCTGAGCGAGTTCTCAATCAACAAGCAGCAGCTCCTCGGGGTGGGTAGTTGGGAAGACACCAAGACGCGCTGTTCGCCAGATTCGAAGCATACCCCCTCGTCCAGACGTTGATGCATGTGAGTGTGATGGTGATGCATGAACATGAAGTGCCGCAGCCATCGGTGTTTTGAGGGGGGCATTGGCAAGGTCTTGGATGCACACGTTGTATCACATGTTCTAAGCGTCGTAGTGCCTGCTCCGACGAGGAGGCCAGCAAGTATGCTGCTCTGGATGGGACTTTGAAGAGATCAACCTCAATAAATGATCTGCCTGTGCCTCCACGTCTGCGCCCAAAATTGGATCGTCGCACTTGTGAGTGTTGCTTGGCCTGGTTCGAGACGGTCAACAAGCAGATGCTGCATAGTAGAGTGTGTGTATGTGCGCATGCCGGTGTCGGTGTGGCCCGCCAGGGTGCAGGTGGTAGAGAACAGTTTACGACAAGATCATGTGGGTGACACTGTCCATTGCGCGCGCTGTGGTACCATATTCAAGAGTCAGAGAGGTGCAAGTAAACATGCTCATGGATGTGCAGAGCGTCTCCGTTTCGCTGGTTTTAGGCTCAAGCCGGGCGCGCGCACCTTCACTTTCGAGGACTGACCTTTTTTTTTTTCCCGACGCGAGATGCCGAAGTCTGCGCTGGAGCTGCTCCAGGAGGCCAAGGCGAAGATGCCCAAGGAGCAAAAGGGCTCCCACTCGAAGCCGGTGCGGAAATGTAAGTCCAGAGAGCCAGCGAGCAGTGCAGCGGGAGGTGGTGCCTCCAGCTCTGGCGAGAACCTCGGCGTCTTGACATGGGTGGCTCGCGATTACTCGTCCTTCAAAAAGAACGCCAATGGTGCGTTGAATTCTAATCAATTCGCTGCTTTCCTTCGGGAGGAGAATGTGACGGAGGTAGTGAAATCTACCACCTATGAGTAGCACACGAAAGAGGGCAAGTACAAGAAGGCATGCGATGATGCCGCCAAAAATCAACAATCCGTTCCAGCCTCCGACTATCCATACAACATCTACCTGTGGAGCGTGATGTGGGATACGATTGGGGACGCGGTACAGAAGATGCACGACGACTCGGCGGACGGCGACCTCCAGACGTTCCTGAAGGAGCCGATCGATGGAGCCAGGAGCCTCCAGAGGCTCAGGCCAGAGTCCCAAGTTCGCGTCCCCCTTGCCGGAGAGAGCGTGGAGGTTCGCGCTGAGTTTCCCTGGACCTCTTTCTCGCAGGAGACTGAGGATGTAATGCTGCCGGCCGTGATGCTTCTGAACAAAATGAACCCGATCGAGATCGCCTTGCGGCGCCAGCTCGACGGAGGATGACGAGCAGAGGAAGGCTTACCTCAAAAAAGCAGCCACGGGGGCAGAAGGGGCCAAGGCGGCAGAGGCGGCCGCGGCGGTACCCAGAAGTGATCCAGGAGGGAAAAAACAACACACAAATAAACAGATACAAATAACAGGATTCCCAATCTTTCCCCATATTTTCCTGGATTTTTCTCTTCCCCCCCCACTTCCCATAGTTCCCCATATTTTCTTGGGAATCGACGATGAATTGTGTCTGCGTTTCTTCCCCATCCAGAGTGATCTCGAGGCGGGGCTCCAGGATGCTGATGGCGCAGGCCCCCCCCCGGGCCCCACGACATGGACCGTCCTCGCGGGTGGCATCGTCCGTCTTTCGGGCCACGCCTGGGCGGTTCACTCCGCGCCCTCCTGGGAGAGCCGGCTGGCACCGTGAGCCCCACGAGAGCGAGCTCCTCACGAGGCACGTCTTCTTGGCCGGGGCACGGATGGCCAGGGGGATCGCCATGGAGTCCGGTGTGTAGGTTTGCGATGCACTTCGCCCCGCGGCAGTCACGAAGCCCGGCCAGTTAGCCATGTCGAGACGTACCCCGGGTGCAACACCACCAGGAGCCCAGCGTAAACAACCCCCATGAGTACGAGCGCTCGATGTGGAAAGCCGCCGTCTGTTTGCAACCCTGCCACCTGCTACCATGCTGATAACACGTATTTGCAGGTTGGCGTAGTTTAGCAAGAATCGTGCACCCGCCAACCAACCAACAACATGTGAGTGACATGTGCGGGTCCCCGCGCGCGCGCAAATGCCGAGATCACTGCGAGACCATGAGCACTTTAAGCCCCCCAGTACACACATATGTATACTAGAACCATCACGCGCGCTTCGCGCGCGCTCAAGTTCTAGCTAGCTTCTTGGGGCCTCCTCGGAGCATCCTGGACTGCTTCTTGAAGTCGTCATGGGACCTTCTTGGCATGTCTTCAGGGGCCTCTAAGAAAGAGTTTTGAAGCCTTTTGGGTGCCGTCTTGGGGCCTCTTTGAGCCTCTTTGGGGCTTCTTGGGGGCCTCTTGGGGCCTCTTGGGGGCCTCTTGGGGCCTCTTGGGGGCCTCTTGGGGCCTCTTGGGGCCGTCTTGGGCGGCTCTGGGGCCGTCTCGGGGCTCTCTCGGGCCGTCTTGGGCCCTCTTGGGGGCCTCTTGGGCCGTCTTGGAGCGGTTTGGGGGGCATCTTGGGCGGTGCTTTAGCGCCGGGAACACGAAACAGCGAGAGTGCAAAAAAACATTGAACAAAAAACAACGAAAATCAACGATTTTGCCCCTCTCGGGGCGCTCTTCGGCGGCATCTTAAAGGCCTCTTGGGGCGTCTTGGGGGCCTCCGGTGCAATTTAAACGCATCGTGCGTGGACGGAGACCCCTGGACGTCGTCTTGGGGGTGTCTCGAGACCGCCTGGGGCCGCCGAGATTTCTGTCGGAGGGCTCCCCGAGGCGATTTTACGCCTCCCAGAGGCGGGCCCGGGCCCTGGGCCCCACATTTGTGGTCGGGGTCCCAGCCCCCAGCCCCCAGACCCGGTCCCCCCTTATATGTATAAATACATGCATATGAATTTGTCCAAACACAAATGAACAACGAATGGCTCTTCAACACACTGAATGGCAACGTTTCTCTGTGTGCGCACTTTCACGTCATCCTCTTCAGCACCACCACTAAACTTTGATGGCAAGCGTTAGCATTGCCATTCAAATCGTCATCATCTTCAACACCATCACCATTGCCGTAGTCATCCACACCACCGTCGCATTTTCGATATTGTCATCGTGGTTATCGTCGCCCTGGCCACCTTCACCATCACCATCACCATGACTATAATCGTCGTCGCCGATGTTGTCATTACCATCCTCACTAACCCGCCCAATTCATGTATCTGCATCGTAAGCGTCCTCGCATTATTGCGTTGCCAAGAAGTTGCGGTTAGGTGGTTGGAATGTTTGCTCGAGCATTGAAGTTTGCGACTCGAAGTTTTCCCGACAAAATGCGAAACGTAGGCTGCAACCCAGAGCTTGCCATACATAGGTTGCGCCACAGAGCCAGCACCACTCACATGCAAATATCTGTATGTCAGACATGCACCACATGGCTGGCACATGATTTGAACTCCATGTGCCGCGCATCCAAAGCGCAAGATCTCACTGTTTGGGGCCCGCGCCGGCAAACAACTTCTGCTGCTGGAGCAGGACAGCAGGACAATTGCCTATAATGCGGGGCGGATCTACCACAAGAACCACAAAGCCCCGCACGCAAGATTCCGCTTTAACTGGAAGTGGCCATCATCGGCCCAGCCACCCTGGATCCGCTGGAGGGATTCGGCACGCGCTGTCGGAAGGGGTTGAGGGGGGGTGGTTGGAAGAAGAGGAGGAGGGAGAGGAGGAGGAGAAGAAGGAGGCGGAGGAGGACGAGAAAGACGAGGACGAGGAGGAGGAGGTGGAGGAGGGGGGGATGGGCGAGCTCAGCCGGAAAATCCATCCAATCCCCCTGAGAAGTACCCATTCCAGAGCAAGTGGGCCGTCCCTGGGGGTTAGAAGGAGGGGGGGGGGAGGAAGAGGCAGAAGGAGAAGGAGGAGGAAAAAGAGGAGGAGGAGGAGGAGGAGGAGGAGGAGGAGGAGGAGGAGGAGGAGGAGGAGGAGGAGGAGGAGGAGGGGGAGGAGGAGGAGGAGGAGGAGGAGGAGGAGGAGAGGAGGAGGAAGGGGAGGAGGAGGAGGGAGGAAGGGGATGGGCGAGCTCAGTCGGAAAATCGCCCCCCCCCCCCCCCCCCCCCATAGCTGGCCCCTTCCCAGAGCAGTTGGGCCGTCCCTGGGGGCCCGGGGCCTGGCCGCCGCCCCCGCGGGGCCCCGCCCGCGCGAGGAGGCGCCGAGCCCGGAGGGCGCCCCCGGGGCCGGGGCCGGCCGTCGCGCGGCGGGCCCCGCCCGGTTGCGGGGTGGAGCCGGTGTCGCGCTGGTGATGGGCCTGTTTTCCACCACCACCAGGATCATAAGTTGGAGGGGGGAAGGAGGTGGAGAAGGAGGAGGAGGAGGAGGAGGAGGACCCCCTCCCCCTCCAACTTATGGTGGTGGTGGTGGAAAACAGGCCCATCAGCTGGGGGGAATTGGGCGCCCGAGTTGTCCGGGGCAAGTCGGGCCCGGGGTAACTCGGGCTTGGGTTCCCGAGAAACGAACCCGAGTTAGCCCTGACCCGAATTATCCCTGACGATCTGGGGCTCTGGACGCCCGAATCATCCGGGGTAAGTCGGGCCCGGGGTAACTCGGGCTTGGATTCCCGAAAAACGAACCCGAGTTAGCCCTGACCCGAATTATCCCTGATGATCTGGGGCTCTGGACGCCCGAATCATCCGGGGTACGTCGGGTCCGGGGTAAGTCGGGTTCGGAATCCCGAAAAACGAACCCGAGTTAGCCCTGACCCGAATTATCCCTGATGATCTGGGGCTCTGGACGCCCGAATCATCCGGGGTAAGTCGGGCCCGGGGTAAGTCGGGCTCGGAATCCCGAAACACGAACCCGAGTTAGCCCTGACCCGAGCTACCCCTGATGATTCGGGGCTCTGAGGGAAGGGGGCCGGGAGGGTGCCAAGGCACGAGCAGCGGCATCGGGATGCCACGAGGGATGCCTTCGGCCGCCTGCGGGCAGGGGTGTCCGCCTTTCTCTCCAACCCCGGGGCCCCAGCCCGACTGCTGTCCTGCCTGAACACGGCGGGCGCAGCCCGCACGCCTGCAGCGGGCGAGCGCGTGCGACTGCATGGGCGACGACCCCCCTCGAGGTCGTCGCCCATGAGGGAGCAGGTGAGGGAGCTGAAGACGAGAAGGAGAAGCACAACGAGTCGGGCCTTGCTGATCGCCGTCGGTGCCCCAGCCGCCGCCGCCGCCCACGAGCCACTGGTTGTTCGGGGCGATCGATGCGCAGCTGTCCTGGTCGACGTTGTGCCGGTGGCCACCTCGTCGGCCCCCCCCCCTGCCCCTCCCTCCTGT